AAAAATGGCCGCGGACCACGTGTCAGGGGCAGAAAAATGGCCGCGGACCACGTGTCAGGGGCGGAAACTGACCGCGGACCGTGTCACGGAAGGGAAAATGGCCGCATATCCTATTTGTACCCCGAGGCGGAGTTCGCAAACCGAGGTAAATTTTTGCGGCCGGAGCTGGTCGTAACCTGAAAAGTTCGTTAACAGAGGCATTCGTAACCCGAGGTACCACTGTAACTGATTCTGCAACAGTGGAGCTCTCCATATCTGGCTGATGACACCAGGTAGCAGGAATTCTAGATCTCTCTGCTGACATCAACTGGTTATCTAGATATTTGTGGGCCACCTACAGTATCCAAATAATGATTCATAATTTCAGAAGCGGGGAAGGTATAAACAATCAGGAAACCTGTAGCCTTTGTACAACCAGTTTAATAATTTGCAAAGGGCCTAATATTAAAAGAAAACTTATCAAATTTAAATGGTTTATTATAAAAATCTCTTAATGTCTGTTACTCCTGAAGCCACATACAGGATATGTTTGGCCGCAAAGAAAATTTGGCCAGAAGGCATAGTGCTTGTTAAATGGTGCAGATCTCCAACACCGAGCTGCTTCTTTGTCACACTGGCAGATTAATTTTTGACATCTGTTTAATATAGCATCTGAAGAAAGGAAAGAAGAAGATAATATTGCTAGTTATGATGAAGTAGAGCACAAAAACAAAATAGACTGGCTTATCTATAAAACTGGCATTTATTAAGACATATGACTCCTTCAGAGATTCAGGACTCTTCTGTTTGAAACTTTTTTGAACACCTCAAAATGGTTAAAATTAAATCAATACTGCTTGCAGGACATTTTGGACACTAAAATAATAAAAAAAAACACCTCATGACTGGAGGCTAAAGCATTGTGTGTGTGTAACAAGCATGTATTAGTCCACTATATCTTACATTGCATAATGTCTATTTCCTATATCCATGTATATGTTAAAGTGAAACACTGTTATGCTCCATGTTCATTTTTGCTTGTTAAGCCCTATCTCACAAATACTGTTTTAAAGCAAACATTTCTCTTGGCCCCTCTGTGAAAACTCATCTTGGAATTTAAGAATTAAGAGAGTCATTCAGGAGAAAGGTGTCTCAGCAACAGGTGCCTCTCCAGAAATCTAAACTCTGATTATTATGAAGTATTGGGGGGGGGGGGAGAAGAAGCAACATCTCTTTCACTAAGTAGGCAAAGGAGTTTTACCCTTGCTGCTCTTCTCAATTCTGAGGTAAAACTGTAATTTTTAAGAAGTCCACAGTCATGTTACTCTATTGTGGTGGTTGGTGATCCACTTTTATGTTGGGAAGTGTCCAAGGGCAAGGGCCACAGTGGGCAGGGTGCTAAGCAAGGCTGGGGTATTACAGAGCTTTCAGAAACAGTTCGGTTTTTTTAACGTTCTGTTAAGCCTATTTTGAGGTGTACCCTGCAGTTCCAATGTGTCACTAGCCTCAAAGAAGCAGAAAACTATATCAACTATTTTTAGCCATCACAGTCAAGTGATGACTACAATGGATGGCCTGCAGCCCTGAGACCACTGGATTTTGTCCACCTGTGTTTTATCAATTACAGCATATAAAAATTTGTAGAGATTCCAACCCTGTTTACATATTTTACATATTTATATTAAGATTTCTGTTTAGAACTTTATTCTTCCATCTTCAAACTAACCATAGACCTTGGGAAACTGACAATACACTGCAAACAGTTTGATTAAAAGTGCATGGCATAACTTAGCACAAGACAGTATATACCTGTATTTTAAAAAAGGTAACAGCGATGCATAAGTAGAATAATTAACAACATAGCCATTTTTCTCACCACTAGTCTCCACAGAAAGATTGAGACTGCTTTAAGTCAAGGTCATATGTGTGAACCCTTTATTATTTTACATCCTTTTATACTTTCCAGCCCGCTAGTGACCTGGACAAAAGGACTGGCATGTTCTAGCACCAGGCTTAACGAAATGGAAAAAACAAAATGATACTTTTGCTAGGCATAGGAGAGCAATACAATACCGTTGTTGGTCAAATGTCATTAGACTCACTTAATGAAAATATCCAACATCAAAATAAACACACTTTCACAATAAATCATTTTTAGGCCCAGAAGAAAAGTTTAATTCAATTACTGTTACATGATATTTCCACAAGCTGAATCTTCAGGCAGCTAATAAGAGATGTTGTTAGTATTAAAGTTGTTTAAAACAATAGTCTGCTTAGACCATTGCTATGCATCTTCCAACATCTCTGAGAAAACCTGTAGGACATTCTGAAATTAAAGCTGAATTCTTCACCTCTAGAACATCTGCACATACTTGTGCCTCTCTGAGATAATGTAAATAAAAATAATGACATTCAAGTTGTACCTTACCACATACCACAGCATTGTCCTGACAAGTCCACTTATATCTCTCCGTTATGGGATTACAACCTTGT